TAAAAGACCATTTTTATTATCGCTTGTATATATGATAACAAAATGATAGAGTAAACGATTGAGAAATAAAATATCTAAAAAGTGGATAGAATTTTTATACAAATAAGCATTTTCAGTGTTTCGGAAAGAAAAAACAAACATAATCAATCTTATTCTGGAAACGGAAATGTTTATTATATGTCAATATATAAGTTAAATAGTGTAACAACACCTGCTTTATAATAATTTATACTTATCTTTAATACGAGATTGATTTTTTTTTTATAAATAAAGTTAACTCAAGATAAACTTTCGGTTGACCTACGGACACATTCTGACTACATGAAAGAATTGAAATTTTTTTATAAAAATGCTAGGAAATTAAATTTCTGTATGCTACATAAACAGCTGTGCAATCTTATTAAAAATCTGATTACGAAATCTTATTATTTAAAAGTTATTAACTAAATCGACTATGAAAAACGTTTAATGCACGTATATTTGAATTCTTGAATGAAGCTTCGGTTACATTAAAACACAGTATGATTTTACTTTGGAGCATATGAAATAATCATTTTTTGTGTAGCCGATGGGCTCAATTTTATTGGAGAAATGTAAAAGAGACACGATTAAATTATGGGTATTTGTAATTAGGTAATCAATATAGGTAAATATAGATAATTAATTGCATAAGTATGTTGCATTGTATGCATTAATTGCATAAGTAAGCTGAAGAAAAACGATAATTACAAAAATATTGTATACGAAACTATAAAACTGAAAGGTCATCCCTATTTTAAATTCAATTGGAACATTTTTCAATAAACAAAGAATTCTTTAAAGGATTCATCGCTACAGTGTATCGAATGATAACAAATTATTTATCACTCTTTAACTTTCCTTCTGATTTTCAAAAATAAAGATACATAGATAGATGTATAGATAGATGGATAAATACAAACAGAAAGAGAGAGGGGGGAGGGGGGAGGAGGAGACAAATAGTGAGTAAGAGAGGACGATAGGTGGAAAGTAATGGAGCGAGTACAGATTAGTTTAAACAGAATAAAAACGAAAATTCTGTTTCATCTCTATCTTTATCCCTGCTACACTATTAAAAATAAAAAGATCGTGTAAAGTATGAAAATATTGTGCTATGATACAAAATTAATACTTAACTATCTAAAAAGATAAGATGATTTGTAAAGACGTTGTAGTTTTACACTGCGATTGTTGATTTAAGCTTATTAACAAAGCAAAGCAGCATCTGTAATAAAAACTAAATAATTTACTATCGATTTCAATCAAGTACAAAGGAGTAGTAATGAACTTAAGAGTCATAAAAGTACTCCTCGTTGAATTATAATAAATTATACCATGACCTCATTTATCTATTATATGAGATATGATATTAGATTATCAATATAAAAGTAGAATTAGAAGAAGCCTAATATAAATATTTTAATATGTTACGGATATTAAGAATCATTTTTACTAAAAGATATCACAAAGCGATTAACGAGTTTAAATTTTATAATATTAATTTTTCTCAATTACGCCGTATAATTGTATTAAATTTACTATATTATTTTATAACATTTATTTCAAATTATTAAGACAAATATATTAATATTTGTTTTTATTTCTACACGATGCTACAAACTGATGCATAAAAAAAGCAAATTATTTTCTCAAATAAACAGGCTTACCGCAATTAGAAAATATACGTTTGGTCATTACTTCAATATTTTATCAATTAATTGAATATTCTAAATATAGTATATAACTTTACAATAAATTTAATTTATTCTGTTTCAATTAAAACTGAATACTAGTAAATGATATATATATATATATATATGTGTGTAATGCAGTTATTTGACAAAAGATTTCATATGTTGTATGTCATATAGTAAAATCTGTCACTTATGAGATACTGATTTATGTATTATATAAGATTAAATTTGCTATATGTCCACTGAATTTCTTAGCTGATAAGTTATCACTATAAACTATTAAATTTAATTTACTATTATTGTAAAATAAGAATCTGTTAGTGATAATAGTAAAATAAATAATATTAAAGAATATTAAAATAATATTTATATTAAAATTATAAATGCATTTGGCTAATATTGATAAATGATTTTTTGTTTACATAAAATAATGTTTAATATTCTTTTTAACACGAATATAACGGGATAAAAGATTCTCAATGAATATTAGAAAATATAATAAAAAGTATTATGAAATAATTGTTAGCATCAAACAATTACTAAATTATACATGTACTTTTTACAATTATTTTTACAAAATGTGTCAGTACTTTTCAGTCAGTAAATATTGATTAGTATATTTTCGACTCTAATGTTTTGTCTTCTTTTCATTTACAGGACAGAGTTATATATCTTCACTTACTCGTATTCTCGCGAAGACGACATTTACATTTACTGATGTATATCTGTATATTCAGTTATACACGTTCTTTACTTCAAATGTATAAGCAGACAAGTACGTTTCTTGGAACGTCTACTCATCTGTTGTATTAGTAATTATTAAGAGAAATATGCCTATTACGAGAATTTCGGAACCCGTGCAACGTGCAAGAAATAGAACTGAATCGATTGTAGTCAAGAATATTCAATTTGCTCAAGATATTCCATCTATAAGTTGTAATAAAACTGCACGAACAAACATTTACCATTCTACTTCTCACTTTAATACCATAAATGAAGATTATAATTACATTTAAAAATAAAAATATGTTATTAGTTGTATTTCATAATAATGTTAATATCTAAAATATGTTTAAATATAATAAAATAATGCGAATTCGATAAGATACAGTATTAATAACTTTTGGCATATTTAAAATAATTTGTTCATAAGGCTAAAAAATAATATTAATATTAATATTCAGTTTGAAAGCACTGATTTCCTTTTTTATAATGTGTTCCAAAACATCAAATTAAGAAGGATATTTAACTTAACAACAATTAAGGTGGATTTTAAAGAAATATATATTCTTATGATTATTGTTAAAAAATTTTCTATCTTTTTTTTTTTCTTTATTGTCTGCTGAATGAAGTAAAAATACTTACAAAATCGATGTTTGCAAATTATTGATGTATTCAGTGTATTATTTATTTTTATATTAACTCATATTAATATAGTAAATTTAAATACCTCTTTAAAAAGTAATATAATGATGAAAAAAAAAACCTATTTCTCAGTTTAATATTATATAACAATGTAACAATGTTAAATTATTAAGCTATGTTTATAAATTATTGGCTTTGATAAGTTTTATTGAAATTTAATATCCAAGAATCTTTTATGTTGTTGATAACATTCTTAAAGTTGGTATTTAATAATTCATAAAACTTTATAGTGTAAATTTATGTCAGGAAGATTTATTTTATATAATGTAGTAGTAAAAGATCTATTTTAAACCAACACTGAATTATTTCTTACAATTATACGGTTAATTAAATATAGTAAAAATATATATTATATACGTGAATATTGCAACTGGTGCTCCTATGAACAATAATATCCTGAATATAGCAGTATTAATGTTACAATAATTTTTATAAAATCAGCATACAAAATTATAATGAAAATAAACGACTTATTATTATAAAAGAATCTTATAATTTTCTTAATCGAAATATTTAGTTATTTATATATATTTCACCGCAGTTCTATTATAATATATATGTTTCATCGTATTTTATTAAATTTTCATTCTCAGTCGAATGTTCGAATCGAAAATTTAAATATAAATTATATTCAACGCTCGTAGTGAAAAATTTTATATTTTAATTTGAAAATAATTTAAACATTTTAATTATCGCGGCTTTTACACTCGTATGACAAAAAGAAATGGCGGATTATAAATTTTTGCGCTCATTACTGAGCACAAAAACGGGACAAACTCGTTCGTCTCAGTTGTGTAAATTATAAAACCACCGTTTCAATATGGCGACTTTCCCTCTCATACAATCATGAGAGCTTCGCTAGACTCGCTCATTCTGCCTAAATCACTTATTACTAAATGTAAATTTCTAACTATTTATGAAGAAAATTAATGCAATACAATCATATTAAAAACGTCTTTGTTTACTTCGATCAATCATAAAAGAATTAATGAAAACACCGAAAATAACGAATAGAATAAAGTTAAGTTAATAGAAACGTGACTCGTCATTTGTCATAAAGAATTTACGGAAAATAAGTTTTGTAACGCTTTTAGTCAGCGCATTTGTTTGTCTTTATATTAAATGAATTGTCGGTGAAAATTCAATTTGAACAATCATGTGCTGTGAATTTTGTCAAATTTAAGCCAATTATTTATTTTTTTCCAACTACAAATGAACAAGATTTGAAATTCAAACGAGTTACTTTTAAATGTCGGTGTTTAGATCTCGAATTCGCGAGGACGTATAAATTTAAACAGCGAGAAAGATTACTTAGTTAAAAAAAAAAAAAAAAATGAGAGTATATGATACGTAATAAAATGCTTCGAACATTAAAAAAATAAAAAAGGAAATAAAAATAATATATGACTACTGATTCACTGACCTGCTTTATTCGGTGACGAAATTTGCATGCCACGGTTGGTGACAGTAACTTTTTCATTTCTTCCCGTAAATTTGTCGTAAATATGGTAAATGAAAATCGCATAACCACTCCTTGACGTCTCTTAAGAAACTAAATTTTTAAAGATTCTCCAAAGAAGAAAAATAAATTCTACTTATATGTATCTATGCCTAAACTTACGTGACCTGTGACGTATGCAGCTGTCCTCTATTATACATATGACGTTCCCATTTCTGTGGCAGACCGTAAATAGTCGGAGTTCTATTTTCTTGTTAATTTGGTTTTTGAGTTTTGAAAGTGAAGAGAAATTAACATGTACAAAAATGTAGCAAGAATTTGTAGTTAAAGTATTAATGTCATTAAAAGAAATGATATCATTTATGAAATTGATAAAGAATACATTGACACCTACCCAAAGAACTATTAAAATTAATAATAATAAGCAATGGTTACATAAGAATATTAAAAAATACTTTATTGTTACTGAACATCAAAATGATCGACTGTCAACAAAAATAAATATCTTTAAAGATTGTGGGTATTCGTATTATTATTATAAATATTATGATATTCCAATATTACTTGGAATAAGCTTTCCTTTATTTGGATTTGCAAAGAAGAAAGAAGAAGAATCGGAACTTATAACAACAATTAAGAAATCCGTATATCTGATTCAGGTATAAAGCATGATTGAAGTGGCAATTTTGACACACCATCAGCTACAGAATTATATCCAAATACTTTTCTTATTTTCTTTGAATACAAAAGTAGTATACATTTTTGTTATATTTTTATGATTGCTTTACAAAAAGTTAATTGTTATTGCAATGACCATATGTATGCAATAAAAATTTGAATACGATCATAATGTATAAAAATATAATATAAAATGATTACATTGCAAAGGTATTTTAAAGATTTTTTATATCACTTTGAAAAATATCAATAAATATTTATTATGGTTATAATTTTTTTATTTTAGAAGAAAGAATTTAAAAAAGCTGAACAAATGCTGCATATAGCATTACGTATAGCTCAAACTGAGCAAAATCAAGATGGAATAACATATATTTATGATTTAATGGCTAATTTAGCTTTTGAAACCGAAGATTACGATAAAGCTCAAAAGTTATTTAAGGCCGTAATGCAAAGGATAATTATGAATGGAGCACCGGAAGATGACTTAAGAATTGTTACTATGAGTCTAAAATTGGCAAAAATATTGGAACATAGGGGGGATTATTTGTATGTATAAACAAATCTTATTTATTTATGTATTTAAAAATATTTCTTTTAAATACCTTTCTTTGTTGAAGAAATGCAGAAAATGGTTACCAATATTGTCTAAAAATTTTGCAAAAATTAATTGATGAGGAAAAACAGGATGATAATGTTGTAGCACTTTGGGAAGTTAATGTGGATTGGTATGCACATATGTTATTAGCAGCTTCAAGATACAGTGAAGCAATGAAATACATGGAAAAAGCTTACGTCGCATGCGTAAAACATAATGGAGAAACACACGAGCAATCTGTTGTTCTTCTTAATGATTTAGGATTGATAAGTTTCATGAAAGGGAATTTAGACGATGCTCTTCATTATCTTAATAAAGCTGTGGAAATTGGTAAAACTATATTAAATTTATACGTTTAATACGTTTAATATTCATAAGCTGAGACATTCTGTATTTTTAGGAGAAAAATTACCAAATATGGATAATGTATCTTCGATACATGTTAATTTAGGCAATGTTTATATGAAAAAGGGCTTGATTAACGAAGCAAAACATTCGTGTTTAAAAGGTTGGAAATTATCAAAAAAAATAAATAATAAAGAATTGTTAGAAGAAGCAAATTTATGTTTAAAGGAAGTAAATAAATTATTGATTAAATAAACATACAAAAATTATTTAAAGTATTTCGTTTATTTGTAAATATAAAAAGAAAAACAGTTCAAATATATTTTAGAAAAGATGGAAGCATAACATTTATATATACATATTATTTACACTTGTTAAACCTTTCTAATAATTATATACAAATTTAATATATATATATATATATATATATATATACACAAATATTTATGTTACTTTACAAATGAAAAAGATATTTTTTAAATAATCTAGTCTTAATAATTATTTAACTGCTTTAAATAATTGTGATGTTTCATTATAAATAACAATGTATTTAACAACTATAATAAAAATGTAAAATTGCACAAAAATAATTGTTTTATAAAATTCTTAAATTTATTCGTACTCTGAAACAAGTACCATTATAGATACACCAACAAGAATTGCAATAATTTCTTTTACTGACTGCCAGAACTTTGTATTTGTTAATAACTCAGGAATCACAGAAACGGTAGCAATGTAAATAAAACCGCCTGCCGTAAAAGGCAGAATCCACCTTGCAGCAAGATCATCTGTTAAAAAGGAACATGAGAATTCAATTATTAATAGAAGTAAATACTTCTCTTGATTTTGTCGTTCTATCTATTAAATTAGAAATACTATTGTTTTTGTCTTTTAAATATGGCTATAATTGTCATTTGATAATGTTTGCAACATGTATTTTCAATATTCTATTGATATTGCCTAGCGCTAGTTACAAAAGTTGTTTTTAATTATTTCAAGTAACAAATATATTTGATTGAATTGAATTTTAATTAAATTTAATGTTTTTAAAGCAAGTATTTCCAATTTGTTTACTTTTCAGTATTTATTAATCATATCTTGACTGGCTTTTATTAATTTTGTATTTTTATAGGACAATATGTTCAAATGTATAGTAAACTTACTTTTATATATTTTATAATTACCTATTCCACCAACAAGTAGAGATATAAATGTTCCTAATAAAGCACCGACAGCAGTTACTAACTGTAACATTATAGCCTGAAAATACATAAAACATAGAGCATTAACGAAAGGGAATAAACATATACATGTTACATTCTTTTAGTTATTTATTTTAAATTTCTTTTAAAGAGACATTATAAAACAAATATGTTTTAAATTAAAATTTAAATTAAATTTAAATTAAATTTTATTAAATTTAATTAATATATTTTTTAGGAATTTGAACATTTATGCATTCACTTGATGAAAATATTGTATAATTATACCTGTGTTCTTACTAATTGTAAAAATAAATAAATTATTTCTTAGAATAAAGATAAAGTTTTGTTTTAATTTCATATCATTTAAAATTTTTTAAATTATTCGAATTTGATAAAATATAAAACTTAACTATTATTTAAAAATTATATCATTCCATATAATTTAACTAAATTTGTTTAACTAAAATAAATATTGTTTTATTAGTTCAAAATATTTTACAACCTATATGAAACAACAAGATTATTTTACCTTTGGCTTACTACATCCGCTTTGTACGAGAATAGCAAAATCACCAATTTCATGAGGAACTTCGTGCAATAATATTGTAAAAGTAGTTACGTATCCGACTGTATTTCCTGCCAAATAACTTGCACCTATTGCTAAACCATCTGTGAAGTTATGTAGAAAGTCGGCGGCCAAATTTAAATAGCCTGCAACTTTAATATCATTAACGACTTCTTCACTCTCATATTCTTTACCGAGACTGTCACTATTATCTTTTTCATTTTTTTCACTGGTATCGTTCTTTTCGTTACTGGTTTCTTGTTGTATTTTCTTTTCAGGTGCATTATGACTATGACTATGGCCTCCTTTGATTAGATGAACAGTCTTTTCAACGAGTAGGAACATAATAATACCACCCAATACGCATAAACCTACGGATGTATCATGTAAATGGTCACCTTTCGGTTCATGGGAGTGATTATGATCGTGTTCACGCGATAGAGCGTGAGGTATCAAGTGAAGAAAGGCGTCACCGAGCAAACCACCCGAGGCGAAACTTAATAATATTTTCAATAGAGGTTCGCATTCTTTAGTATTACCCACAGGAATAAAATATAATGTCAAGAATGGTACCATGGATATTATAAAGGTCGATCCCATTGCTTGTACAAATACATCTCCTAAATGGTTAATATAATCTGAAAGAGGTCGCCAATGTGGGTTCTTATCTTTATCAAAATGATGTCGGTGATCAGGATTTTCATCAGAATCATGATCATGAGCATGTGCCATTTTTTCAATTAAATGCTCGTTAGCCTCCTTAGAATACTTAAAGCTTGGAGACTCGTCGATATGTCTATGATCATGATCGTAGTAATGATCATGGAATTGTGACTGGCACGGTATAAATAAATTGAAAAAGACAGTTAATGTATAAAGTGATAATAAAAGTGATAATGTAAGCTTTAAGCCTTTTTTCTCATTATCTGTTGTAGTAGTAATCATTTTTCATAGACCCTTTTCGTTATTCGTATACTTTTTCGTTAACCTAATGAAAACATTGGTAAACAACTGAAAGTAAAAAAATAACTCTGAAGAAAATGAATTTCAACTTTAACTTACGATACGTGGTATTGTGTTTTTCTTAATCACTTGCGTGTTATCTTACAATTAACCAGTCATAAGTAATAAAAATGAAACCGTGTGCTAGTGCACAGTAAATCTAATAAGAATTCAAACACATAAATAGCATATTCGGTAAATAACAAAAGGAAAAATACTAATTAAATAATGAATAGATATTATTGATAATTAAAATTAGAAAGTATAAGTTGCCTAACGAAACGGGCTCAACAGGTAATAAAGATTAACTGTTTATTTACATATTGAATAGTACATACAATTTCTAATTCGCCTACCGACCATAATAATTCTATACGTACAATTCTTACGTTGATCAACTATGCTTCACATTAGTTACAGGCTTTAAATTTAAATATATACACATACATATATGGTATTGTTTATATTTGCATAGCTCGATGGGATAATGTTTATAGTGTACAATCTTGATCTTCAAAATCGTAACACTCTAATCCACGTATGCCACCGTAAAAATTATGAATGTCTATTATAAATAAAAAATTTAAAAGACGTATGAAATGTAAAGAATTAAAGCAATTCATCAACAATTATTTAGCGCAGAATTTATGCTTTATTAAAATAATGAAATCTTTTATCTTTCGTGTATTATGGATGAATAGTATTGCTTGTGATTTTAACTCCAGTGTGGCAAATGCTATTCCAACCGAAAAAATACATTCCCTTTCAAAGATTATTTAGGTCTCATTAATAATTTATGTTTCTTCGGATCTTAATTTGGATGTCAATTGGCAATTTAAATTGTAACATCTCCGCAAAATTCAAAATATTCTTATTTATTCTTCTTCTTCGAATAAGTTGATACGTTTCATATGTAAATTGTTAAACTAAGAGTTTTCTAAAAAATTTTCGTTTTTGTAGATAAACCATACAAAATAATATAAATCATTTATCACGATGTTAATAATTTTAGTTTAAAAAATTTGTTAATATCAATCAAATACATTCAAGATCACTAATGAAATTCTTATGTTATGTAACATTTTACTCTGCATTTTAAATATTTTAAAAAATCAGTACTGGCATTTACAAGTAAATAAAATTTATTTTCAAAAATAGTATAATTTATTAATATTTTAAGGATTTATAAATATATTTGTTTTTTTTTTCTTTTCTAAATTAAGCTAATAACCCCTTGAATCCTTACTTTATAAAAAAAAAAATTTTTTAAAAAAATGCCATTAATTGAATATTATAAAAAATATATTTTTAGATATTGATTAATTAAATTAATTATATTAACGATATGTTAGGCAAATAACTCGATTGTAAATTTGGATTTTAATTTCGTCTAATAATATATTAATCAATTAGTACATATTCATTCGTAATAAAATTAATCATAAAAATTTTATGACATTAATGATTTGTACAATCATGATTTGTTGAACAACTGCTGTTAGTTTTCTTAAGAAATACGTGCTTTAATACAGTTGTGATATAAATGTAATTTTTTCGTATTTATTCAATTGGTATTTATATCGGACTTATCCTCGATTTCTTTTAAATAAGACCATTTTTAATTTATGATTTTCATTGTATAGCCATATTGCCTTGTATTATATTTATACTTGACTACGGTGTTGGTTCTAAGCTTTCACAATATGCATTAACAAAATATATATTGCAAAATGTTAACTCAAATATTCTAAAAATAAATATTTTTATATGTGACATTATCTACTGAGATTTGCCTAATAATTAGTATAAAAATTTATCAGAGTATCAATGAAATATTCAGATAACTGCGATACTTAAAATTAAAAATATTTTAGAATAATTATTATAAATTCTATTGCTTAATATAATTGTGTTTAAAAAAAAAAACTCACAACTTTTAAAATAAATAAATAATATAATCGAGCATCTATTCGATGCAAAATTAAACGCAAAAACTAATTAAAGAAAATTTTTATGTCTTAGATTTTCAATTACAATAATGACAATTATGTATTTTATACTCATGATATTCTTTGAATTTTTTTTATTAATTCTATTGTTCAATATTATTTTGTATGATTTATGAACACATAATGCATTTGAAATATGACAGAATTTAGTCACGTATAGTTCTGTTGCAATATTTCCAACTTCTATATTTATTACCTTACCAGACATTTATAACATTTATAAATAATATATACCCGCATTAAATTGAGAAAATTCACAAATTATGACAAATTATAACAATGCCACTTTTCTAAAGTAGTATTTAACATTAAAATATATCTGTTAGGATGGTAAATAATTAAGACTTGAACAATAATTTTATGTTAATGAAAAATAAGAACTAGATTGTTTATAAACTAATTGCACCAATGGCTTCAATGATGCCAATAAATGATTTTAAACGCTTACTTTAACAAACTTTTACTATAATTATTATATGTGGAGATTTTGTAATGTCGTTATTAAAGTTCAATTTTTCATAATTTTATAATAAAAAATACTTTTATTTACTACTTTCAAATCCATTAAATAAAAATACAACTCGAAGTCTTTATTGGAAAATTTAAAAAATGATTGGACAATGTTTAAAAGAATATTTAAAAATTATAATTTACTAATAAGAATAAATGCACATAATGATAAGCTAATGAATTCAATTGAATAGTTGAAATAATTCACGCAACATGTAATATATTTTGTTTATTATTAATTTGGTGCTTCCAAAATAAATTTATCACAATTAATATGTAATTTTGAGCAAGATTGCGTAAGAAAATTATTTTAAAGTTTACTGCAAATATCAAGTACTCTCATCATTATTACAATTAATTAAATAGATCAGATTTAACTTTATTACAAATGTAATTTATTTAATTGTTTAAATATTTTAATATTCCATTTTAATAAGCGAAGACTTCTTATTTATATTTATTTCATTTATATTAAATTAGGAGTATTATTAAAAAGTTTTTACATTTATATATCTATATTGCGTCCAGTAAAAGTTACGTAAAGATTGGTTTTAATCTGTGCATATCACTAGAAAGGTAAACATTTTTAACAAAGGCGAGAAAGAATTTCAATAATTGATATTCAAACGCTGTGTCTCATAATTCATAAATTACTTATTTTTCTTACAAATACTATTTTAACTGTTTTTACTTATCAATATAATTATCAATCCAACCATACTATTAATAAATTCTTGGAATGTCATTGTATGATATAAAATAAAGAAACAATGATGCTTAATGCAATTATGCGTCGTACGTTTCTGCTAACGCGTAGAGCTAAATTAAAATGAGTTATGAATCGCGCAGTGAAGTCTTGCCGATATAATAATATATATTGTTATACTAGGATTTAAACAACTTAATTAAGTATATAAGAAAATTTTTTAATGATTGATTTCATTCAATAAATATATATAGTCATACATACCAATATATTATTTCTTATCGAGACTATAGACATTAGAAGATTGGGCTAAATATAAATAATTCGATTTTTATTTAAAATAAATTATTGTGCAAAAATTAAATATTTAACTGTTCCATGATTCATTTTTCAAAATCAAGTAGATATTGCAACTGAATTCGAATTTTTATAATACTACACCACGTACGTACAATATGAAAATTAAAAAATATGTATTATTAAAGATATTATATACACTAATAATTTTAAATCTCGAAGCATAAAAATAAGATTAAAATGTACTCGATGACATCATTATTATATAATTAAAATATCTACATCGTAAGAAATATTCTAGATAGTAATAATTTAATTGAAAACTAAAAAGTATAAAAAAAATCATTACGTTATTATAAGATCGAGTCATGGCGCTTATCTTTAAACATTTTGATAAAATCAATTAAATTCAAATAATTTGAATTATGGGCATGGATAATTAGAGACTTTTGCTTTTTCTATTAATATATTGGTAAGTCATAAGAATTAATCTATGTAGTGTAGAATAAATTCATTATAAGATTAATATATAAAAATCATGTTGAATATTAATATGCAGATATTTCTCTGATTACTCTTATGTAAATTTGTATAAACATATTATTGCTAAATAATTATTTAACAGTAAATTTTATAAGCGTTAATAAAATGATTCTTTAGAAGAATTCAAGGTATTTTTTAACATCGTTAAAATTATAATACATTAGTCATCTTAGATGGTTAAACAATTTATAAAAAAAATTGAATGCTACTCGTTCCTTTATTTGGATTTAGAAAATATTTACAGTATACACAAACGATAAAAATGAATTGAAATGGTAAGTATAAGCGGTACCATTATCAAACACAGTTATTAATTGCATAAGCATGGAAAAAATAAACTACAAATTTATTTTATTGAATTGTTCTTTTATTCTTTCATTCTTTCTATAAATGTGTGTATAAGAATAGAATTTAGTTATGATAACGTCACTAAAGTATATTGTAAAACAGATAGAAGCATTACATATATAAATATATACATTGCATATACGTACATTACTTTTAATAGATGCAGGCTTATTAAAGCGTTTGTACAGTTTTATACAATTTAAAAATACGTATCTATGTATACACAAAAGGAAAACGTTTTGAAATAATCTAGACTTATGTATATATTTCCTATAAATTGTTAAACTTTTGTGATGTGTTGTTAAAAATAATATATTCGTTATAGTTAAAATAACAATATTAAAACATACAAAATGAATTTTTTTAATAATATTAATCCATTTATTCGTACTCTGAAACAAGCACCATCATATATACACCAATAAGAATGGCAGTAATTTCTTTAACCGATTGCCAGAATTTTGTGTCTATTAGTAATTCTGGAATCACAGATACAGTAGCAATGTAAATAAAGCCACCCGCTGTAAAGGGCAGGATCCACCTTGTAGCAAGATCACCTATTAAAGAGAGAGAGAGAGAGAGAGAGAGAGAATGAATAATATTATACAAATAATTTGAAGTTCAATTTTCAATATATTTTACAATTTTACTTTATTTCTATTATATTAAATTTTTATTTACTCGTATTTACATGAATTTTGAATAAATATCATTTTATAAAATATTTACTGCCTCTCTAATTTAAGCAAATGATTGTTTAAAAGTTGAAGTTTCTATTTATCTCGCATATCGTTATTTATTCAACTTACGAGTTATCTATTATAAATCTCATATAAAGTTATTTTTTTTTTTACAATTTTATTCTTACCCATTCCACCAACAATAAGCGAAATAAATGTTCCTAATAAAGCCCCAACAGCAGTTACTAGTTGTAACATTATAGCCTAAAAATCAATAAAATATTAGAATTGCTTATTAAAAATAAATGAATAAATTACATTTCTTACCTTTGGTTTACTACATCCGCTTTGTACGAGAATAGCAAAATCACCAATTTCATGAGGAACTTCGTGCAATAATATTGTAAAAGTAGTTACGTATCCGACTGTATTTCCTGCCAAATAACTTGCACCTATTGCTAAACCATCTGTGAAGTTATGTAGAAAGTCGGCGGCCAAATTTAAATAGCCTGCAACTTTAATATCATTAACGACTTCTTCACTCTCATATTCTTTACCGAGACTGTCACTATTATCTTTTTCATTTTTTTCACTGGTATCGTTCTTTTCGTTACTGGTTTCTTGTTGTATTTTCTTTTCAGGTGCATTATGACTATGACTATGGCCTCCTTTGATTAGATGAACAGTCTTTTCAACGAGTAGGAACATAATAATACCACCCAATACGCATAAACCTACGGATGTATCATGTAAATGGTCACCTTTCGGTTCATGGGAGTGATTATGATCGTGTTCACGCGATAGAGCGTGAGGTATCAAGTGAAGAAAGGCGTCACCGAGCAAACCACCCGAGGCGAAACTTAATAATATTTTCAATAGAGGTTCGCATTCTTTAGTATTATCCAAGGGAACGAAATACAACGTCAAGAATGGTGCAATGGATATAAGGAACGTCGATCCCATTGCTTGTACAAACACGTCGCTAACGGTTCTCTGGTGCATTTTATCATCCTTATGTTTATGATGACTGTGATCGTGGCTATGTAACGGTTTTCCCATTAACGGTTGATTAGCTTGTTTGGAGTATTTAAAATTTGGAGGCTCTCTAACAAGTGAATCATCATGATGGTGATCGTGATCATGATCATGAGTGTGAATATGCGTTCTACAAGGTACCGGCAAACTAAAAAATATCACTAAAACAAAAATTGTTACTAATATTGTCCTTAACCACGAGCCTTTTTTCTTCTCGTCATTATCCTCTTTAGCAGTGCTCATTTTTTATAAGCGCACGATTTCGTTAAACCTGTTAAAATTCAACATAAGGAACTGAAGTATTCATAAATAAATTTTACGATTTTAAATTACAACCGAGACTTACGTGCGTGATAATCCCGAGCTTATCGTACCAACTTCCTGGCTATCTTATAATTAATGTCGCAGACAGCGCATAAATGCCGTCGCTTGTCTACGTCTACGCTTCGATAAACTTTGCGAATTTCAGGTTCAATAAAAAGTAAATCGTGCGCTATTGCACGAATGTACCAACAATATTCCGGGGACATAAATAATTTATTCGGCAAACAGTATAGGGCAAACACGAGCCGGTACGAAACAAATCTGGAATTCAGATCCTCGATCCTACGAGGTGAAGTTATCTTGCTCCGGAAGCTGGTTACGAGCAAGGTATACTAAACATCAAATTTTTAACTATAGATAGTGCAACAGCTGCCTAATATTGGAAGAACATGGGACTGATCACTGGACGTGTATCGATATAGAGACGCACTTGAGAGCATTCGTGCAGGCACAATTATTTGTGATTGCAGGATGTGCCACAGTGAGGCTAAAACATAGAGTTGCATAGCGATAATCTAACTCTATGGGCATTAGTAAACTTGAATTCGGTGACATTAGCAATTCTTTATCACATAATAAGTGGAGCATGCGCAGAGCTAATGTTGACCTCGCCAGGACCGCCACATCGTATATTGTTTTCCTTTCGATCACTCACTCTCACTCACTCTCTCTCTCTCTCTCTCTCTCTCTCTCTCTCTGCGTGGCTGTGCGTGCGTGCAAGCGCGCGCATATGCATACGCGCGTGAATAAATGCAAAGCCATAAAGCAATTTCCTTGTGTTTTAACTACCACTACTACTTTTAAGTACTGTAAATATAGAAGCTATTAGGCAACGTTCACGAATTTCAATAAAATAAATATATTTTAATATATTTTATCCAATGGCCAGATTTTCTTCTGTACCCACACCACTTAACATCGAGTAGGATATTATTTAACGTTACCTAATTGATAATAAAAATTACATAAATTAAATTACTTTCCATTTGCTTTTCACGAGATTATTAATATAGAATATGCACGTATTTATGTTTATATTTGTAAGAAAACAAACTGTTCTGTTATTGGTCGTAGATTTAAAAAAAAAATTGACTTTACAGTTTATTGTGCAATTGCAGATTTATGTGGCGATAATACAACGTAATATTATAAGTGAATAAAAAATTGGTGCTTAAAAAATTGTTTGACATTGTCTTGATTGATTTCATAAATTCATTATTACGATACGCGTAAATAAATCGTAATAAATACAAATACATAAATACAAATTTCCCTTGCTAACAACAAAGTAATTCAATTGTAATATTAAAAAAATTAATAATTTCAGATATACATTAACTCGATGAATGTTTCTTCATAAGGTAAAACGGTATATCTCAATCGTTGATAGTGTTGAAGAAAAATTTATAAGCATTATTTAAATAATTATGCTCGTGCAATGTCGATTAATTATGAAATTGAAATGAAATTAAGCAGCATAAGATTTTCCACATGCACACGAATTCATTACTTGCTTTATTTATGTATTATACAAGCTATCGGTTATGGATTTTTAAAACAGTAAAAATGAGTAATAGAATTATAAGAATGATCATTGAATTTTATCGTACGGTAATATTTAACGTTTAAAGGAATAATAATTTCTTAAATGACTTCTTACTTACAACCATCCGAACATATTATATACATATAATTCTTGATCAAATATTTTAATAAAAATGCTCTTTAATATATGCTCTTAATATATTATTGCATTTAAATGAATATTTTAAAAATTTGCGCTAAAAATAACAATCAAAATTGTACAACTGCTGCACCAATTCAAACACAGACGCTTTGACTTTTGGCCAACCAAAACATTCCCGCAATGGCAGTTGCATACGCGTAAATATTCCTAAGTCCGAACACGGCGAACAAGGATTTGAAAAATTTAAATTTTAAGTCATAAATGACAACGATAATATCTAATCGGTAAGCTTATCAATTTCTATTCAACGGTGAATTATTGTTATTTTTTTTAGTTTTGCCAGAAATAATGTAGTTCCTAGAATCCTCATATGAAGTAGATACCCGATGAATTTGATATATGTTTGTTAAGCCAAGAAAACAAAAAAACGAACGTTTTGAAAGGTTATACGTTCATCGGAAATTCAAACATTTTTCGTCAACTATTGTATTGGAATTACTTATATACTTTTCGCTATTTAACTAGATTATGTCTCATAATAATACTGAACAATCTGCAAGACAGTATGGATTTTGCAATGCAATTTTTTCAAATTCACCAACCAACTTCAATAAAGAAAATAAACCTCCTACTAAAGCGTGAGTTTTTTTTTTTTTTTTTTTTTTTAATAAAAAATATTTTTCTAACATAAACAACCCTTTTTAATGGTATAACTTTGTATATTAATACCATTTTGTTATTAAAAACTCTTTTTATCTAAATTTACACACCAAAATCTACTTATTCACATTCATTAACATGTTCTATTATTAAATTTAAGTAAATGTTGAATGAAAATTTTTAACGTAATATTGTTGAACTTGAAACTTATATTATACGAAAATATTTTTACTACTGTTTTAGCGATTCATTAGTTAATTCTAATTCAAACTCGAATTTAAGCTCTCCATCGTGTAAAAAAAATTTAATCAATTATCTACCCTATAATGAATACAATAATCAATGTTCAAAAAATGTAGAACAAAAATATGTCAAAACCTCAAAAGTATCATCTAAAACTCTTGTGCGTGCACAATCGGACGATATGATACAAAATCAAGATGATCATATTTCTTTATCAAAATGCAATTCAGAAGAGAAAATAGTTAATAAGAATATGTCTAATACAAGACTTTCTGGTAATAAAACTCCTGTAACTCATTTCTGTACACCAAAAAACATTTTAAATACACGCTCTGGTACAAGTTCGTCGCGCAGGCACGTGAAGCGTTACTTTAGTGATAATTCTTTACATCAAACCCCAGATTGTTTTAATTCGGTACATCTGGAAACACCAAAAACAAAAACTGACAATGGAATTGAAGAGCAAACCCTATACGAAGGGGAGAATAGTAATTTAACAGTAGGCATTAGAGTAAGACCACTAAGTTTTAAGTAAGTAATCTAAATATTGCAAATACTTTTACATATTGTTCTTTCATTTAAAAATTTAACAACTTTCATAGGGAACAATGCGAACAAAAGATATTTTCAATTGTTGAAGTTAATAATCAGAATCTTATAGTCGATTGCGATACGTCACAACATACTTTTATATACGATCACTGTTTTATTTCATACAATGATCCTCTAAAGAAAGGTCACGCTAATCAAGAATCAGTATTCAACACTATTGGTATTCCATTAGTTCAAAGTGCTTTTGAAGGATATAACGTGTGTCTTTTAGCATACGGCCAAACCGGATCTGGAAAGAGTTATAGTATGATGGGATCGGAGTCTGCACAGCCAAATTCTTTAGAAATTCATTCGGACGCTGGTATTATTCCAAGATTTTGCCATGAGATTTTTTCACGTACTAAACTAGATAATTATATAAATACCACGGTTGAAATAAGCTATTTTGAAATTTATAATGAAAAAATTCACGACCTTCTAATTAGTAATAATAATGGTACGAAAAAAGCTCCTTTAAAAGTACGCGAACATCCTGTTTTTGGCCCATATATTGTAGATTTAAGTCAACACATTGTACAAAATTACAGCGACTTGAAGGTAATGTTTGTTTGTAATTCATTATTTTATTCGTAGATTTTGCAAAAGGTTTTATACTAAAAAAATTATTTTAGGGATGGCTAAAAGTAGGAAACTCACAAAAAGCTACTGCAGCCACTGGAATGAATGAAAAAAGTTCTAGATCTCATAGTATTTTTACCATTATTTTAACACAAACTCGATCTAAAGGATCTTCGAGTAGAGAAGTTGATGAAGTTAGTCGACGTAGTAAGATTAATTTGGTCGATCTTGCCGGAAGCGAAAGACTGAGCAATACATGTGCTAGCGGCAACAGATTAAGAGTAAATCATAATTAAAGAAAATAATTTATTAAAAATAGTTTATTATTATTTACTTACAAAGCAATTTTTAATTTTTAGGAAGGTGTCTCTATAAATAAATCACTTTTAACATTGGGAAAAGTCATTGGATCTCTTGCTGATAGTACAAATGATCGAAAGCGCAGTTTTGTTCCATATCGAGAATCTGTATTAACATGGCTTTTGAAAGTAAGAATATTTTTTTACTAAATTTTAATTTTATTTTCTATTAATATGTAGAAATTGTATAATAAATTATGAATATTTCACAATTACATTACTATCTAATCACAATTTATTAGGTTAATACACTTATAAATGATACAATTAAAGTGAAATCTTGCCAGATATTTTCAGTCGTCATATTTAATGCATTGTATCGGTGTAGTAGGTAAACATAGGGGAACGAATATAGATCTTCTTAGTAGAACATTTGCATTCTGATCCACATCTTTTGCATTGGTCGCCGCATTTGCATAGGTTGTTGCCACAAGATTTTGGCTTATCATTGTCTTTATCTACATATTAAATTTAAATTTATATTCAAATTATGTAAACAAACTATTCGTTTTCAAAAACTTACCGCTTTTTTCTTGAACGCGACATTTCTTTTTAATTGTTTTCCATACCATTGTTGGGGCTTGTGTATAGATGTTTCTTCTGTTATACACAAAATGTAGAAAAACACCGAGTTTAAAGTTATAAAAATCCAATAAAACTCGTATCTATCACTTTAAAATTTATTATCAGACAATTGTTATACGGTATGTGTAACGTGACTTACAAAGAAGTTCGTATCGGGCTATACAAATTACTATTTACGATTTCGCATCCAATAATGTGGTTATTCGCCTTAAACCCATGTTACACAATGTTGAGCATAAAATGTCCCTAATTTTATAGAAATTTTTTACATTCAGAATGCATAGAACAAATTAGCCTATCAAAAAACTTTTCATAAGAATACAAAATTATTATTATTTTCTAATATTCATTTGTGAACTTAGGTACAAAGAAATTTAGGAGATCAAAACATTTTCCACATTACATCTGGTAACATGGAGTTGTTAAGCTGTAGTGCCGTGCGCAAAAAGCGCGTGCGCATAGATTTAAATTTGCAAATAATGCTGGAAAAATTAACTAGAATATTTCTTAAAAAAAAAAAAAAATAAATAAAAAATGAAAGAAAAAAAATTTAAATTACATTTAAATACTACGTTAAAAGATGTTGTTAAATATGTTGATAAATAGTCGTTAAGTAAATTTTTTCTAATAAGTTTTTTCTACAAAAACCACTGTCGTATAATAATGATATTCATTAATTTGATTACTCATATAGTATGTTTTCATAATAATATTTATTTGATTTCATCGTAATTTTATATTTATTTAAAAATTAAAATATAGTACATGTCAAATTAATAATTATAAAATTATTTTCATTAAATAATTTAATATTTAAAACATACTTTGGAAAATGAATAACTCGTCGTGATATATTGATGGCGTTTATGTGATATAAAATATATTTTTCACGTCGAATGTTTATATGAAACTTGACAAATATGGAAGTAATAAACTTTTAGAACACTTATTAATAACAATTTACAGTAAATTCATTCTCAATTAATCATTAGTTAAATTTGTGCTTACGTAGATTCCAGTAGATTATTCATTACACGATCGCATGAAATAGAAAATATCGTTTTTCTAAATCATCATTTTTAATAAGTTTTCATGTAAATATATATATTTTTTTTTAATTTTGAAATCATATCGTTTTTATCAGTGATAATAATTGTCATACTTTGATGTTCATGTAAATTATCGATTAATTTTATAACGGAGTAAGATTTTATTAAATTAATATATATTTAAAAATTTTAATTTTCTCCTAGCGTTATTTATTTAAATAGAACTGAAATAAATGTACAAGAACATTTTTAAAACATTTATTTTTGAATTGTAAAATTTCATCCGTGGGGACGTCGAGAAGAATATATTAGAGGCTCTTTATTGAAATATTACAATCTAATAAGTTGAGGTAGTGTATTTACGTGGAAAGGTTAGAGAAAAAAAAATAACACAGCATAAGAGTATTTAACATAATTAGTTAGTTGATTTATTCAATTTAATAATAACTTGAATATTAAGATATTTTAAATATAATATTCGCAATATTATTTAATACCATATATATTTTCGCTTTCCCATTTTGCAAGGAAAAAAAATAATTCTGTCAAAATATTCATAAATTAAAAATAGTGTATAAAATTAGTTGCAAAGGATCATATATTTACAAATCAAACAATTAGTTTTAAGAGATTAATTTTAATCGATTAATTTAAATTAAAGTTCTTTTAAATGTTTGGCAATTCAGATTAATCATCTAAAAACAATCGATTTTTCTTATAAACTCATTGTATAAATTCATTAGCATTTTCAAAAATTGGAAATGTCTATGATATCTTCCTACGATTCGGATTTATTGATGCTCAATTCTATAATTGAATTTTACTGGTGTATATTAAAATTCACGACAAGATAGTATAATTTTTTACATTTTTAAATAGAATTCTTATGTTAGGCAAGTAATACTTGAAGATGAAGTTATTTTTTTCTTACTTTCATTATTTTGTATTGTTTATTTTTTGAATATTTGAAATGTAGATTATTTTGTTGTATGAAAACTCGAGTAATTTGATACGAAAATTTTACAAATAATTATTGCAGAATGTAAAATAATTTCTAAGGCGCAATTTAAAGCAAAAATACAATATAATATCAAACCTAATAATAATAATAATAATAATATAATTAAATTACAAACTATGTTGTTTCTAACTATTTTAAATCATTCCTTTTAAATGATTATATCGATTATATTATTACATTGATAATAAAATCCAAAATATTTAACTTGATCGTTTCCCTTCTATATATATATATATATATATATATATAAATATCATTACAAGTCGTGGGAATTTGTATAATTATATAATAAAATTAAAATAAAATATTCAAGTATTAGATGCCTAATCTAGTAAAGTGAAAAATCATAATCAGTCTTATTGAAGAAAAAAAAAGAATAAAAATAATATTTAGAATCTTTTCCATTTTTCTTAATAGACTATTCTTAAAACTATATATTTATATATATATATATATATATATATTTGTGTATGTATGTATGTATGTATGTATGTATGCGCGGATGCATGTATGTATTAATTTATATGTATATGTATATAATGCATATATACGCACTGTACAATGTACAATTATAATGTGAGAGCATGAAACGACACATGAAACGAATCAATACATTATTACTATGCCCGATTAAAGAAATAACATTGTTATAGTAATTTCGTAGATGCCATATTGCATGTCGTATACATTTTTAGAAGCAACAGAAAACAATTTTAAGAATAAATTTATGTTTTAACAATGATTCCAAGCGAAAGATTATCGAAAGAAAAGTAACTTGAATTTCATTTGAAAATGCTCGACTTGCTCGATCAAATCGATCTACTCGATCGTACTTTTGGAAAACAAAGCTTCCCGATCTCCGAACAGATGCTCCAGTCGTTTGCACACGGCAACGAAAATGATAATCCAAAGAAGCGATTCATGACGACGCTTAGCAGCAAATCAAGTTTTTATCGTGTCTTGCCAAACTTTTCTCTCAACACTATTCACGGGGACTATTGTATCGAAGCGGATATCGCGGAGGATTCATTTATCAACAGACGGATTTCATTGGTAGCGCCTGAGAGAGTTACCAATGTATGAATTGCGACACTCGGCATCTGGATAATCCAGGGACGAAGACTACCTGGGTGCCCGGCTTCGTCTCGGGCTCAACGATCTTCGTGTGCAAAACACATGTGTCGAATAATTTGTAACGTCGTCGCGCTCTCAGGCGCTCGTCGTCGCCTTCTTCTTGCCATTGAACTCCGGCTGTTCGTTCGGTTTCTCCTGCGCCTCGACTTCCTCCTCCTCCTCGCATATCTCGTTGCAAGAATTGTTGCGCGTCTTGCCCCGAATGTAGGCGGCCAAGCTGCGCCTTTTGTTCTCCTTGCACAAGTGGCAGGAGTCTTTGCTGCCGGAGTCGCGGTTTTGTTGCTGATGCTGCTGCAACTGCCGGTGATGATGGTACGAGGCTGCTTTACCTGAAAATATAGCAACCGTCGTTGTTACCGCTACCATTGATTTTCGAGTTCCAATATTATTATTACTTCTTCTCGAGGATTTCCCCGAGTTGAGATAAACTCTATTGCCTCTGTTGCACTACTGGGACATAATTGTAAATTCTATTTATGTCAATAAAAATTTCCGTGTTTACAGGTTTTGCATCTATGAGAATGTGCTACTGAATTTGAATTAAATAATAAACATGTAGGCACGTATGATAGTCGACTCCCTTTCGCTCGTTTTATTGATATAATAATCAGCAGACGAAATTGTTAATTCCAGTTAATTTAGAACTTTTAGGATAAACAAGCGAGCGATAATTGTTAACGGACGTCTGAATGTTTTTAGTAACGGATATAATTTTAGAATGTACTTCGCCTAAGTAGTTGTTAATTTTTTTGTTCATTGTATTTACAATGAGTGTAATGTGTGATTTAATCTTTGCATTGAAAATTTTAATGATTAATATTTATCAATGTTTCGGGCTTTGATTGAGTTGGTATTTGATTACACTGTAGATAAAAAGAAATAACAAGAAAGAAAATAATAATAATAATAATAATAATAATAATAATAATAATAATAATAATAATAATTAATACGCCTTTGATTAAAAGTTAGAATAGAGCGATGAAAATCAAATAGGGATCAAATTATAAACGATCGGTGTTCTCATTGAAAATTAATTTTAATACCGCAGCAACGAGAAACGCGTAATCTAAACGCCTAGCTGCGGTCGACTACATAATTAATAATCCATATTATTATATAAATATCGCGTTTGAAAGTTATGGGGGGGGGGGGCAAAAAAGAAGAAAAAATGCTACTTTCTTTCAATTCGAAATTTGATTTATCGGTCACACGAAGAGAACGGATGTTTTGTAAAACGCGCGATTACCTCATTCAAGCGCAAGAGTATTTAAAATAATTATGCAACGCGTTTTGACGTTTTGACGTTTTGACGATTAGGAGGGAAAAAAACTTTTTTTTATCTCATCGGTGGATCGAACTACAAAGCCACAATTCGCTATCAAATCACAACACAAGATAAATAGTAAATACGATCGCTAAGATCACGTATCGTGCTCCCGTAAAAATTCACACCTACGCCCTTGAGAGCGATTTCGCAAAGATTCGTCGTCCGTCCTCGATCTTAATCGATCGAATTTTACCGCCGCCGTCGCCGAGACCGACACTAGAGCGGACATCAGCGACGAGCAGTGACGTAATCGAGTCTCTCGTACGAAAGAATTGTGGCGCAGAAGTGCAGTTGGCGGCAACCCTTGAGGACGTCGGGCCTGCGTTTGCGCACTGCCTGACATTGCCTCCGATCGGCGCTTATGGCCTACTTGGAAAAGAGCGGAGGGTGTAGCGACGATACCATCGTCCCTTTCATTCTCCTCGCTTCGCTCCCTATTGAATTTATACTCTCATGCGTAAATGCGCTCACCCGCGGTGTAGCAGCAGCAGCAGCAGCAGCACCAGCAGCAGCAGCAGCAGCAGCAGCAGCAGCAGCAGCAGCAGAGACGCTTTATTATACTACGCATTTATTGCACGACGCATTTACGTGAGTGTGTGCGAGCGTACGAGCGAGCACGGCCGAAGAGCAGTTAGGCTCGTTTTGTTGATTGAGCGGAATAAAATTTCGGCAAATATCGCGATCTTATTGAGAGGTGAAAATACGATTGCCGTTAAGCCTTACGTCATCGCAATCGGAATTTATCTTTAGCGGTATTTGTACATTGCTCGTGCATTAAACCGTTTAATTATCTTTGTTTGTCAAAAAGCTGCGGCTTTATAAATCTTAAGCACGAAAGCATAATCTCGTTGAACTTACAAAAAAAGTCGGCACGACTTTCAAGCGCGCGATCTCTAACGAGTCGTCCTCGCTTTCATTTTACTTTTCTTTTGATCCTCCCATCGCATCTTATGGCAGACGACCATCGCTCGCTCAATAATAAATAGGACTCGAAATTTTTTTTATCAGCCGTCCGTCACTTACCACTACCAGCCACTACACCGTAGATTCACGTAGACCGAAGCGAAATAGACGGATCGGAGAGGTACTCGCAAGGCAGAACTCGAGCAACACCCGAATCTAACAAGTCCCCCCCCCCACTCCTCCTCCTCCTCCTATCCTCCTCTATTTGTCTCGGTTACTCGTAACTCTCGTCGCCTTTCACTATAAATAGCCTCCGGGCCGCGGGGAAGATAAACGTCGTTGACCTCGATTTCCAACCTTTGTGAGCCGGGCGTTTGAATGTCGATTAGACGAAGACCAGCTACTCTCGCTTTATCCTTACTATTGTCACGTGCGGCGTATCTAGGGTTAAGGGCCCGATGGGCCGTTGCAGCACGACATTTGTCATAGAAATCGACTTTTCTTGTTTTCTTCTTCTTTACCTTGTAGCACAAAGCCTATCCGTTCGTCAGCGGGTAATGTTTGCAATTTTATTCTCATCCTTGGCAAAAGGATAATTGTTATGGGCTTTCGTTTTTGTTACGTTAACGACTAAGATAGGCTCGTCATCGAGCTCCAAATCAATTTATGCGAATTTCAGAGGAAGTGTCAATCCCCTTACAATTCGCATTTGTGTATTTTCATCGAGAATGACACGATAGTAAGTGCAAAAGATATGCAAAAGATAATAACGAAAAGTAATACATCCGATGACTAGATTCTTATTACGTTTAAAATTAGCTTTACATCAAATTAACATACTATTTATAGATGGATAAATAATTCTCCAATATGCCGTTAATCGTCTTATTGAGCTGTAATCCATTTAAAGTACTTTGGCAATATAAAAAATATAACGAAAAAGTGTCACGGTAATAATAATTGATTAAATATATATATATCTTAAAATAGATGAGCAATTATAAACAAAGTAATTCCACAATACAGAATAAAGATAATCGCTCGAATATGATTGTGCATGGATTTTACGGTTTCTTTGTATATCTTGATAAGCTTTTTTAAGCACAATTTTTCTGCGTAAGTCCTATTTTACTCATTTAGTAAAGCAAACAACAATCGGTAACGCGTATAAAAATAAGAAGTTCTTTGAACATTCTTCTCTTAATTAACTGTCGTGTAATAATATTTTTTTACTAAATAAGCGATCTTTCGTAAACGGCGCGATAATTACTTCAATATTTATATTTACTTAATCTTAAAATGCCGACAGATAACGCATTTACTATTTATTTATATTTGTTTTCATATGTTTTGTACATAATTAATTGAAGAGAATTAACGAGTGCTCTCGCGTACGTGCCACTTAAATTATACATTCCAATATTTGAAATTAAAAAGAAAAAAAATATCGAATTATTTTGTATTTTATGTATTGCGGATCGCGTGGAAACCACGAAAGAATGTACACAGACGCGCGCGCGCGTATTACATTAAATTTTGAATTAGCTTACGAGCGCGCAAACTGTACACGCGATGCAAATATAAGCAACTAATTAAATCGCGGTTTTTTTTTTTTTTTTTTTTTATATACAGTATAGCGCTGCAAAATATCAAAACATTTTGACACATATTTCATGAGATTTTATTTAGAATTGTGGCAAATGGCGACTTGCCAATTTTTCAAAGTTTACGATCAAAGCTCACACGAGCGTACTAGAGAGGAACTTTCATTTTTTTTTCTCCGAATTTACAATTGTCGAAGATATTTCGTGTTGATAAATAGCGAATGGCAATTAGTAGCTTGATTATGAAAAGCTTTGTGTGAAGCTCACAGGTGTGTGAGCTCAAATGTGAGTAGGTTCGGTGAACTCCGCAGGTGGCTTAAGTATTCTTTTTTCATCCGTTATTCTCTCCATAGGGATTTGATGAATTGCGTTTCGACTTATACCCTTTTAAAATGCTGATCATTGACTCGACGAAAAATAATATTGATAAGTTGCTCTTATCGCGGTAGGGGGAATACGTAATGATTCTCGGCAGAATAAAACGTACGCATCGGTGTTTGGGACATTCATCTCAGCTCGTTCGGCTGTTTATGCGCACTCGATAATAGCTTCACCTTCACCCAAAAACGGCCGATTTACAAAAACGGCGCCTCTACCTTTAGCCAGCGACAGATTGGCAAAATAATCCGAGGCCAAGTCGCGCAGTTCCCCCGCCTACGATTGTAATTAAGGGTAGAAGAGGGAGGACGAGGGAAATAGGTATGCGCCATGCGTATGGATCACGACGAGGACATGAATGGATGGAGAAGAGTGCGCGCGCACATTCTCGGTCTGCCTTCGACTTTGTGTCGCGTCGAGCGAGTACGCTGCTGGCCGAAGGATTCGACTAAGCCGAGATTGCTCTCGAAGTCGTCACATCGTCTGTCTGGTCTTCTTCCGCGTTAATCGACACGGTGAGTGTACGCGATGTAAATATTGATAAGAGCCGAGGGGGGATTCGTGCGCGTGGATGGGCCGGGCCGGGCCGGGCCGGGCCGGGCGGGGGGGCGGCGGGAATGACGATGCGCGCTAAGCGGCACCGCATCTTCTGGTACATCTGGTCACGCATGGGAATATGGAATTGAATTTTGGGAAGGAAGTTTCGACGACTCAATGGCTGCTGTGACAAGTGGCGAAACTCGCTGTGAGCCTTGCGACGCAGTCGCACTCGATGCTGCCGAGCTCCATCGGCAATCGCCGAAATCTCAGGAACGAAGGAGCCCGATAAGCCATGTCCCTTACAGAGGTCGCAAGGACCGCGAGCTTACGTTATGTCGAGACTCCCCCCTGGTTCGCTCTAGAATCTTCTTAATCCGGGACTCAGGCACCGGTAAAAGAGTTCCGTTGACTTTTTCGAGTCCCAAGCGTGCAAATGTCGCCGCGGAAAGCGCGTGTTTACAAAATGCCGCGTTTAATGCGTGCGTGAGAATACCTGTGAGAATACCTACGAGAATACGTGCGAGAATACGTGCGAGGCTGTGATGTTATTGTCTCGGTCGAGCGTTTTAGGCGGTACACGGGCGGCCGGTGCGGAGGAGTCGAAGATAAAATTGAAAATTGCTTACGGATCAGTGGTTTGGGAAAAGAGCGGGCGGGATAAGTACCGGGAAACGAGAAAATCGATGGCACGAGCCCGGTGGAAATGAGGTGGGGGGATGGGGAGAGGGGGGACGAAAAAGACACCAACCGTCGTCGAAGTAGTTCCTGTTCCAGGGCTGCTCGTAGTCTCGGTACTGGGGGCTGCGGAAGGAGCCGAAGGTGAGGACCTCCGGTATGTAAACGAGGTCCATCCTTGTGTGCGACCGGCGTGCGTGGAACGTCAGCAAGAACGAACAACCCCCCGAATCGTCGTCGAGCGCGCGTTGCCAAGAGTCGATGATGGTCGCGGTGTCGGACCGCCGGACTACGACTGTCGGTCCGCGGATTGAGCCGCGCGCATATAACCGTCGGCGCCCGGCGAGCCCCTTCCCGCGCTGCGGCTCACTATTCCGCCCCCCCCCCCCGTCGCCCCCTTATAATCCCCCTCTCCCCTCATACCCGAGTCCCATACGTCTCCGCCTCGCCCTCGTAGCCGAGTAGGTGCCACTGCTTACGTGTCGATCTCCACGCGTGATCTCTTCTCTCTTTCTACCCATCGAGGAGTTCGGGATGCTGGAACGGGATGCTCATGTGGGATCAGATAAAAAAAGTCGAGCCACGAGCAGCGGCACCTGATGCAAAGTTAAGCGATCGAGCTTCTCTGTACCCGACGACCGCCCCTTCCATCGTTTTGTTATTTGTTAATCTTTGGGGAAGCCGTTTTACCACTTTTTCACCATTTTGATGGAAAATTTGAACGAAAAAGCAAAAACCCCTTTATGATGATTACCGCCTGTGTGATTTTTAATATAAATATTATCGTAAATTGTATTGTGACGTACATGAAGGTGACAATATGCGCAAACATGTGCAATACCAAAGCTTTGTTATGTAAATTTACGTTTGATTAACCTGTAGTATTTAGTTTATCTTAAATAGATTGCTCGCAGCCTCTCGTTCTATTTCCCTCCTACAAGGTCAAGTAAAAAGGCTTTTCATTTACTATACCTTGGACGCATTATTATGGCTTTCTCTATCCCTTTTGACTGACTGCCTCTCTTATTTTTCTCTGTGGTTCAAACGTTCGCGCATACGCGCACGTACACTTCTTTGCCTGTCTCTCTCTCTCTCTCTCTCTCTCTCTCTCTCTCTCTCTCTCTCTCTCTCTCTCTCTCTCTCTCTCTCTCTCTCTCTCTCTCTCTATATATATATATATATATATATATATATATATGTGTGTGTGTGTGTGTGTGTGTGCGCGTATTACTGCCTCCCCACTCTTTGTCTCTGTACGCTTTTGAATTGCACAATTAACCCCATGTTATTCTAAGAATATATAACAAAAATATGTCGAAACTTCGACAAAACAACGATTTAACGAATCATTACTTTGTACTTTTTTTGCACATTTGGTCGAATATAGCAACTAAAGAGCACTCGTCAGCTTGTATATGAGAGTACTAAGTCAGGATAATTTTGGCAAAATTCTATGAATATTTGCAGCTACATTTTTTATCGTTCTATCGGTTATATAAATATTTCTATTAGGAGAATAACAATTAAATAAAATAAACAAAATTGATGGGCACTCTTTTAATATTAACCCTTTTTAACACCTAAAACTCCTGCCATTTTTAAATCATTTGTTTCAAAACTTATTCTCTACTCGATAAAATATTCCGATGAATTGACTTCGCTTTATAATATTGTGGTTTAAAATTTCCACTCTTTAAGCAATAAATAAAATATGTACCCGATAAAATATCTATATATTAAATTATATATTATTTAGAATATCTATTTTATAGGCTTTCATTAAGTATGTCAATATCTAAAGAGCGCGCAATTGTGATCTAATCTACAACTAGAGCTTTGGGTTTAATTAAACTTTTCATTATTTCAATACATCCAATGAGAAAATGTCAATAGTCAAAGAATTTAAAATCGTAATATTCTTAAGAACGTAAAACTAGAATTCTACGCAGTAAAAATATGGCGCTTCCATTCTCTACTCTACTCTTTACATAAGCCTACACGTTGTCTGGCTCTCATTTCTTTACAACTACTAAAGCATTATTATTATTATTGTTTTTGTGAATTTCACATTTGACAAAATGTACATAATTTTTTTTTTGTTTTTTCTTTGCTTTATTTTTTGTTTTGGTTTTTGTTGTTGTTATTATTATTATTATTATTATTATTATTATTATTATTATTATTAACTACGACTTTGTTCATGTGAGCGATATTATTACGCTTTTATATACGAACATCAGAATCACGATTATTTTATTATTTTACTGTATTACAAATAAAGGCAAATCTGTAATATTGCTAACAGTAAGGGAAACGTTAAAAATCTTAAAAATCTGTTAGGTTAGAATATCAAGGGCATGGTTACGCGTTAAATAATTATTTATCTAGTTTATATGGTAATTGAATTTATTACATAATCAAGTATCATTGCCCTTCTAATATTACAATATAAATTGTATAATTAAAAATATTATTTATTTTTGTCAAAGATAAATAAAAATTAAATAAAAAAACGTTAATTATTTTTCTTCGATTCGAAATAATGCATATAAAAATTTACACCCAGACATTTTAAAAATAGTTTAGTTAATAATTATGTACCTTTCTTTAAAGATATTATTTATAAAAGTAATTTATAATATAAAAAATATGTTATTATGTTTAAAACAGACATACAAGTAAAAGTAAAGAAAATACTTTATTTATATTTTGCATAATTTTTTTTTTTTTTTAATACTTTGACTTGCATTACTTCAAGACAAATGATTCCCTTGAATATAAGATAGCTTAGAAATAAATATTTACAAACATAAAAGAACACAATTTTATCGGCTCTTCACATCTAACATTACCTTAAAAAGAAGCTACTACTATTATCCGTGTCCTCACATCGTCCTCACATCGTCCTCACATCGTCCTCGAATCGTCCTCACATCGTCCTCGCATCGTCCTCGCATCGCTCTGACAAAACATGGAAATCAATGATATATTTTCGCCGTGTTGAATATAATTTATATAATTGACTAAAGTTTATCCATTAATGCCGCGTCACTAAGAAGTTACATTTATATTTAATAAATAATGGAATTTTTGTTAATAATTAAATCTATTATTTCTTTCGACGAAGGTATTTAAGTGATCAACACCAATTATTTTCGCTATTCATTCCTAAATGTTTAATAGATAAACGATTTAATTGTTCTAAAAATTATTTAATAATGTTTATGTATGTAATAATTAAATTTTATTATATTTATTTCATAGTTATTGGGAATTGCTCTCTCTCTCTCTCTCTCTCTCTCTCTCTCTCTCTCTCTCTCTCTCTCTCTCTCTCTCTCTCTCTCTCTCTCTCTCTCTGTATGTGCACATATATTATATAATCTTGCTTTCTATTGAAAATATAAAATGTGTAAACTTCTTTTTGAACCGATTATTATTAAATTTTTCTCTGAAAATGTTTTGATATAATTTCAAAATAAACATTGCGTACAAAGTTTTATTTCAAGAAGAAGAATTATTTATTTATATCATTAGTTTTATAAAACATAAGCTTTAAAAGCAAACATATATGATATTATTTGCATTAACTGTTAATATATAATTTCATTAATTTCATTATCAGAAATGCACGATTGATGTATCTTATAAATTATTCTTAGAGTCAGAAAAAATTATCATCTAATAAAAACATAAATAACTTATATATAAATTGATCACTGTCATTTTTTAGAGAATTAATTCTTGCCATAATTAAAACAGATAATCACGTCGATCTAAATTAACATAGCAAGTTTTGTATCTAATACATTATTAATGATTTATCGGCAAATATCACTTATTCAGTGTTTATGAAACTAAATGGCTTTTGCTAAAAAACAAGTGAATTAGGATAAATGATAAATAAGACATTATGATACTCTTTATGTTTGAAAAATTTTCTGTATTACAATTGCAGACTCACAGGATTTGATCCATCTGAATCGCACTGAATTGTATTATGTAAATTATATTCATAATTATTAAATAAAAATAATATAATTATATATTATTAAAATATACCTATGATTTACGGTATCATTATAAGATATGTTTCAATTTATTTATGATTAGATAAAATTGAATTTTTTTTACGGGCTCTAAACGTTTTGAAACAAATTTTTAATTTATATATAAATCATTTTAATAAATTCATAAGAAATATGTGATTATTTTATGGCAAATAAAATGTAATAATGATTTTATGTTAAATTTTCACGTTATGAAGTTAAAAGTTTATCTGAATTAAGTTTATTTTACTTTAATTAATTGATCAAAAATACATTTGGTGAACAATATCAATTGAATTTCAACAAAAATTCATATTCATATTGAATTTAAGTTTTGTATTATCTAAATTTTATTCAACTATAATTCACTACTATTAATTCAATGCTCGTCTGATATTAATTTTAATTTAGATTATATTTGTATTTAAAACTACAAGAATGCTGTTTATATAAAATTTACTTTTTATTAGCCTTAATTATAATCGTTATTCGACGAATTATGTTAGATATCTTATCAGATTGTTAATACATTTTGTATCTGATTATACATTTTATATTGTTTTAAAAACAATGGAATGCATTCTTTTATTATAAAATGCACAACAATGTTTATTTTATTTAAATTATTTTGTATTTTTTAATGTTTAGTTATTATTTTTAATTCTTGTATCAACTTGTGTCAATAGTTTTGTCACCAGACAATAGTAAACATTAATGTTTCGTGTGAATTTTTTTTTTTGTTTATAAAAAATAACTGATTGTTCGCAAATTAAAACAACAGTTTTACAGTTTAAATATTTATTATTATAATAAATTTATATAATAAAAAAATAAAAATAAAAATATATCTGACGTTATCAAATATTCACCGATTATTATACCTTTTAATTATTCATTTTATAATCAAAGTTTAATTTACTTAGATTGTTAACTTGTTCTGCAAATAAATATCCAATTTTAAGTCAAATAATTATACTTATTTATTAAAACGATAATTAAAATATTTCTATTGTTTGAAGAAATTCAATTCGTAATAACATTTTATGTAAATTTTTTATACCAAAATCTTGACAAATATTAAAGGCGCTAAAATATTTAATAAAAAATAATTTCAATTATAAAAATTAAATTACAATTGGTTTAATTCATAAGCTCGTAGTATGGAAAATATGCTATTAGTATTACAATAAAAATATATTATCTTTGTATGGCAGGGTAGATGTTCCATTAATATTGTG